AAAAAAAAAAAAAAATATATATATATATATAAACTTATATTAATGCATCTGACAAGAAAACTTGCTCAATTAATACATTGACTGCCATGATAATTACTAGCAGCCAGTGTTTTGTGATTGGAATTTGAGTTGAATATTGAAATAATCAGTGAAAATCGTCTTGGCGATGTATTAATATTGTTTTACGATGTATTAATAATGTATTAATATTATTTTACGCACCAGCGTTTGTGGCATTCCCTGCAGCACGATACGAGTCCTATCCTTTCCACACTGTACTGTGAGCCGCAAGAACTGAAATATGAAGTGAGTTTGCTGAGACACTTCGCTATCTCTGCCAGCGAGGAAGGCAAACATATTGAACAGATTGTTCAACGCTGTCATGAGCGGCTCCTTCAAAACGAGAGATTTTTTTCCATTGCTCGTGCCTTGCGCCTGCGAGCTCTGCGAACCGAATATGGGAACATTCTCGCCCGTCTCGCCCAGTCTCAGGAGTTTATTCGCAGGCACGCCGAGTGTGTCCAATTCATCCGTGTCCAAATCGTGTCGTACGCGTTTTCGATTATTGCCCCGGTACGGATTCGAGTTGTTGTATTCGAGAGTGGAGAATATGCAGTACACGCACAACTTCGCAAGGATGGACGACTGCGGTTCTACAAGCTCGTCACTTTTGCAACAGAATTAATATTCAATGAATATATGTGTGAGTTTATACGGAATCATATAATTAAATACGACTCTTGCGAAAGAAAATTCAACGTTAACAAGAATGACGAATAAGGGATACACACATTCCATTCATATACTCTACTACATTTATTAGTGCGCAGATTTCGTATATTCATTCTTTGCAGTCAGGTACCACTTAGTGCGACATTTTCCTTCAGTCGAAATTATTTTAGTGCGATTGGTAGGATGTCAAAAGAAAATATAAGAAAGTTACTTAATTTTTTATATTAAACTATTATATTATCTTTAACACATATCTAATAAAAGTCATTAAATATATTATTAAAAATATTATTAAATATATTATTTAAAATTATTTAAAGCTGAAACTATCAAGCAAATTATAAAGCATGAAACTATAATAGTCTATAATTATTAACTCTTGTGTACTATGGGATCAAAAAGATCCTAGAAAAAACAATTTATGAAATAAAATAAAAAATAAAATATAATATAATATAATATAATAAAATAAATCTATATATTTTGGAAAAACTGTTTGCTTTTTTTCATAAAAATCCTGATTTCGATATTCAAAGTAAATAAATACCTTCAAAATAAATATCTTTTTTGAAAATCTTGCTATTGTACTAATTTTTCTCTTAAAAAGATGTCTTGAGAGTAGTTTCTTAAAATTTTACCTTGAAATATCAAAAGTTGTGTCAGTTATGATTTTTGGAGCAAATTCAATCGTTTTTTGCGTTTTTTGGGCTTTCCAATTTTCTTCATTTAAAATCAAATTTCGTCTAGAAAAATTATTCTGTCATATAAAAAGATGTTTTAAATATATCCTGGAATTTTTTCAAATAAAACGAATAATTTTATTGCAGCCAACATTTTTGTAGCTGGGGTTGCGAAAGACCCCAGTGTGCCCATTATGTGATTATACTGAAGTGTGCACAATAAGAGTTAATAATGTTAAATTAAATGTTTCATACATAATTTGTTAAGAATATCTCGACTTTCAAACGCAAAGGGTTAACAAGGAACATCAAATGTTTCAGTCACTATATGTGACCTAAATCAATTTCTTCAGTGATCTAAAACGCAATATTCAAATGAGAACTAGTGAGAGACTTACTTCGTAAGTTATACTAATTTATCTTTTTACCTTATTTATTTGGACATATTATTCGATAAGAGATATATAAACATCACCCTGACTGTGATTCCAGGTATGTAAAACAAAATTAATTATTATATACACGTGTTGTACCACTATTTTTCTATTTTATTTGACAAGCACGACAAATCTTTTGTAATCTAGTATTATATTTATATATACTTTATATGTATATACTTTTGCAATCTAGTATTTTATTTATTATACACATATATGTGTATGTTAATATACGAAATTTACGCACTGATATCTGCTTTCTAGACATCTAGACGTCACCATTCCTTTTAGTACTGAATTCATGCAAACTCATACGACAGTTTGACGATGACAACGCGACGACGATAACTTACTGCAAAGAATTATGTAGATACTGAGGTATTATGTGATTTATGAGATCCAAGGTGCAGTTCTCTATATCAAGATGGAAAATGGCGAAAGCCAGATCCACAGCACGATCAAGTTCCTCTTGATAGCGGTACTTAAGCACCTCCTTGACTATATTAGCAACAAACCACAGGGAACCGCCGGTGTTCAATAAAGACTCCAAAGACTGCGTGGCTTGTATGTTTATCCATCCGCGTTGATTGATATTCTGCCAAACGGACTCCAATTGTTCTAATATCGGTTGTCGCGATATAATACTACAAATGTATGAAGAATGAAATTATAAGAGCGAGAATTCCAAAAACAATAATGATTAGTCATTCTCTCGAAGAGTCATACCTGTTAGACATTGAGAGTACTTTTGTTTTCGACTGTGTAGGCGGGTGTACATCGTATTGCATTTTCCGAATAATCTGGAACATTAAGCTAGATCTGGAAAGAGACAGAACAAACTGCTTAGTCACTTTTACACATTTGAAAAATGGGTTATATGATATTGTTATTGTCCGTATGTTTTTGTACTATTTATATCCAACAAAACATAATATACAGGATAATTGTCGGAAAATACTTAAAACCTTTAATCTTTAGACTGCCAGGAAAGCCACTTTTGTAGTTTTGCACAAATCTCAAAATTCTGTCATGTGTATGTCACTTATACAGAAAAACTTTTGAGAAAAAAATTTTTTTTTAATGAAAAAATGCCGACAGCCTAAAGGTTAAGTGAGGAGCAGCGCAACAAAAAAGCGCTCTGTGTGCCTGGGATTCGACAAGATTCCCCTCAGAATAATTTCATTTTTTCTAGAACACAATAGAAATCTATGGAGTAACAGAATTATTTTGAACGGAGACTTCTTTTGAGTAGTTTCATGATACTTGTCCAAGATGAATAGAAATAAATTAATGTCCTACATTCAAAGTCATCATATATAAATAAGGTCTGAAACTGAAATTATTGCTAATAAGTTCAAAGAGTGAATGTGCACATGAGTATCCCTGAAAACACCAGTAGTTCATAACAAACTTCTACTTAGAAAACAATAAATTATATTCTATTATTCACTTATAATTAATCAGAGGATAAAATGTTATAACTTTTTTATTTCAATGAGTTTCGCAACGCAATAGAAAACTTGTATGCAATAGAAAAATAAATTTTATTAATTTTCAGGTGATATATTTTCCTACTCAGATTTTCGTACACATTGGGAAATTCACCGAGATAAAAGTATTACAATCTTTTATCTTCTGACTAAATGTTTTACATCAAGCATTTTACATCAAGCATTTTACATATGCATCTACAGCACTCAAAAGATTAGTAGCAAGTTATTCTAATGTATGTTACTTTAGTAGTTCATTATTGTATGGACAATTTAAGTTATCAAACTCCGCTACAAAATCAGTGCTATAAGATCAAATAAAATTGGCTCTACTAATTATTTTTTCCTGTTTTGATTGGATATCATGAGAGTCTATACTTAATTGATAATTTATTCTATTAATTTCATGTCATTGACGTACAAACCTCTCCTTAAGATTGTCCTGCATCTCATCACCGGGCAGTGGCGTGAGGAAGTGTTGGACCATGTTCATGGGCTTTAATAGGGCATCCTGGTGAGTGATACTCATGTATGCACACAACCACGCAGCGGCACAGACTGGTAAGCAGCATGCCGCCGCGCGCAAACCGTCCAGAGCCCTTTTGACATCGCCAGCGCTCAACACACCACTCTCCCATGCACACAGTAACTCCTTCACTGCACCCATCGCTGACTGGCCCGCAACATGCCACTTCAGGTTGCCCGACTTGAAATCGAGATCCGGCGAATTGATCTGCGCCAACAGTGTGTCCACTCGTGTCGGATCAACGTTCTGCAGCATCCTCTGCGGTGATTTCGGTTTGTTCCGCTCCGGCAAACACCCGCGCACCCACTGCTCAAAGAAGGAATCTCCGCCTTCCTCGAGGACAACCTGAAAGCAACGTTCATGTTTACATGTATTTGACAACGAAATAATCTATAATAGTAAAAAGCGATTTTTTCGAAATAAATTCGTATATTAAAATTAAAACGGTAATTAAGAATCTTATAGCAATTTATCAATGAGCAACAAATTTATATTGTGATAAAATAACTCCAACAATAACCATTAAATAGTGTAATATTTGAGGCTTTCATGGTGAGAAATCAGGATTGTCGATAAGTTAATATTTGTTAATTAAGTTTGAAATAAAATCTTTCTCTCTCTCTCTCTCTCTCTATGTGTGTGTGTGCGTATGTGTATAATAAAAAATTACATGAACGAAAACTAACTTATTTGGAAGTTTATTAAATTAATTTATTAAAATTGAAAGTTAATAATGCGCTCAGAAAAAGGAAAAAACCGCTGGTATTATATTTCATTTTTTTTATCTTACATCATAAGTAATAGTTCCAATATTCCTGATTATTTTAATTATTTTAATTTAAACAGAAAAAATTATAAGTTAATGTACTTTAAAATAACTAGTTTCCATTAAAAGTTGCTTTAAAATTAACCAAGTTAAAAGTTACTAATTTTTCAATTGATTAACTACATATTATCTAACATTGTGTGAAATAATATTAGTTTTGACTTTTCCGAGTTTGGCATCCGTTTTTACTCGATTTGTTTCCTACATTTCATGAACATATCAGTGATATAACGAAATGAATTCGAATCGTGCTGATAAAAACGAAAGAATACAAGAGCTTTTGACAAAAAGTAAAAGCAGCGTTCGTCTCAGCAAAAATTTACCTTATATTTTCCATCGTTTTACTCTTACTGTTAATGACTAATGCTCAACTTACATCGGATCCATATGTTTGCACTATCGAACACAACATCAGAAACGACATGTCGAACATCATCGCCCGCGTCGCTGCCGTTTTACTAGGTACAGGCTCGTTGATCTGTCTGCTGCACTCGTTGAACTTGATAAGTCTGGTGACAAAGATCTTAAGCTTGCCTTGCACGGTCGCCACTGCGAGCATCAGCTCAAAACTATTGCCCGTTAAGACCTCGCGCAGCATACTCAGCAACGCATCCTGGATCTTCGTGTAATCAGCATTCAGCGTCTTCAAGATCCCGGTCAAGGTCGGTTCCGCGCGTATAATGACCTTCGGAATCGACGACTTCGGGGTACTAGAAGGATCCAGTTTTTGCAAAGCCGCCGTCACTCCTTCCCTGTATGCAATAAGCAAAAACGGATAATCAGAAATTAATTTCGAAAATCCCCATTACCTTTTTAGTAAAAAACGACTAATTTACTGCATACACATTACCTTCTAGCGCTCAAGTGTTTCGCTTGCTTTTCCGTGACGAGATTCACCTTATGCAGTTCATTCAGCAAACATTCCACGCAATTGCACGAGCACGTGGTGTCCATCATGTCGAGCAATGATGTGAACTGAAGCAACAACTCGAATGCATCGAGAATATCTTGCGAATACTCATATTTCTCCTCACCTGTAGAAACAAAATACAAGAAATTACTAAGGTATCTCTTAGATTCTTGAAGTTCACAATTCTCGTGATTCTGTAAAAAATCTGTAGAGCTTTCTCACCGATCTTTAAATTAGCCTGGTGTAGTTCTTTTAATATGAGAGGTACTTTTAGAAACGTGAATGCTCCCCACTGCGATTCCTTGAACGTTCCCGTTACATTATGCAAGCACATCCAACAAGCGCGAATGATCTCACAATAAAGTCGTGCATTCGTGTAATTCTTCAGTCTTTGCACCATCAACAATTGATTAACGAACACGGATGTCTCGGTACTGGGATTTAGTAACACTTGAACAGCAAAAAGCGGTTGCAAGCAATGAGTGATGGATTCCATTCGAGTTTTTTCGGGGCAAAAACTCTCAATCTCTAAGTCGTACAGTTGCTTTAGAGAATCCTCTATTGGCACCACGGACTTTAGAGTGGTTGTCTTCAATAGCGCTTCGATTTCCGAACATTTTTTCATAACTTCTATATATAGATCTGAAGCAAAAAAGATGTACAGGTAAATAAGTGCATGTTGAGCTTTCTTTTGCAAAGATCTCTAAGATATCGCGCTTTCGTTGCAACAAACCATCGTCGTCGTATTTGGCTAGATACATCATCGCACGCAGGAAATCCGAGTTCAGCATCTGCTGCAAGATGCTGGCTGGTTTATCCATGAGTTCGCTTGGATGTGGAGTGAGAGGATTATTTTGCGGTGCTTTTGATAATGTGTGCAGGTAACACTGCAGGAGCCAATGAACTATGGATAAAACTGCCGCCGCTAGAAGATCTTCTTCTGGTTTACCACGACACGTAATACCAACTTGTATGGATTCTAAGAATTCCAGCAGACTCACGATGCAATGAGGTTTATGAAAAGCGTCATATTTACTTATCCGTTGCAATACTGCAGCATATGATACTAACTGCAAGATGATTTTAAATATGATTGTTTGGCATATATATTGATATATTAATGACTGATTTATATCAAAAATTTTTCAGTAACAATGTTAATAGTAAAAAGCTATTTAACAGAAATGTTTTTAACAAGATTATCTTCTTCAGTAAATGTTTTACTGAATGTTTCTAGCAAAAAATGCTTTTAATAATGTGGAAAACATAAATGTCACTGACACAGAACAACCATTTACTATGATTAAACTGTTAATAGTGAGTCATTAACAAAAAATGAATGACAATATTCTGAATTATTTTCAACAATATTGGAAAACTTTAAACGATTAAGAACTGTTATTAGCAAATATGTGCTATATACAAAAAATTTGACAATTTTTATATGTGATCAGAGAAAACAAAACCTTAATTATTCTGTGTAAACAAGGATATTTTCAACATTCTTTGATCTCGACCGTCAAATAATGGATTACAAAAGTAATATTTTTAACAATGTTAATAAAAATTAACTTAGTTAATTAAAGTTATTAACATGTGATCAAAATAAGTAATTTTTGTTAATATTTGTTTTCTGAAAAATGTTGAAAACAAATGTTATTAACATATTTTACTCCATAATAGTTAATAACAAAATATAGTCAACTTGTTTTGTAACTTATTGGAAACAATTGTCTTCAGTAATTTTAAATAAGACAATCTACATTTATCAGTATATTTAGCAGTAATACTGCTAGAGATACAAAATATTAGTAATGTTATTGTTTGCTGTAGACCAAGAATCACATAATATTAATGAATTAAGTATTACAGAATACAGAAGACAAACCTGAGAGCTTAACGAATGTTTTAAATAAGATAATACTAATTGATTGGGTCCTGGTCCTACTAATGCCTGTTGCAATATACAATCAGCTAAGTTATATACATCTCCACTTACTCCTCTTGGAAGAATCTGAGAATTCATCTTGTATTAGAAAATGATTAAAATATCTTATTAAAATTAAAATGCACACATACAAACATGCTTACTGTTTTGATATTAATACCCCATTGTAAATCACTCCAGCGTTCTCTCCATGCTCGTAACAAAAGAGCTTTTAGGCTACTAGTTTTACTGGTTACTTTGGTCTCCATTGGTAATGTTAAAACGTTAAACAATTTTTGCCACATTGAAAAACCTGCTATAAATGAAATATATTGTTAGAATAAAAGAAAAAGAGGAACATATTACAAGAATATATTTTAAAAAATTATCATTTATCAACAAGTAATTTGTTTCTTGTCAGAATTTTTTGATGGTTGATGGTTTTGATGGTAAACAGAAATACTAATGATTAAAATTAATTAGATGGAAATAAAATATTCTCCTCTATATTTATAAAAAACAAATAATTTATATAATAGATAAACAGTAAAATATTGTTCAAAATGTATGCTTTTATTTACCTTATAACACATTACTATCCTTATAACCTAACTTGTGCATTATGTTGCAGTTTGTAAATTTCAAATATATCCATAATATATAATATCCATTATATATAATTTATAATAACTATTAATGGATAAAAAAATATTTGCAGTTATTTAGTAGATGTCTATTAGAAGTCTCTTCCTCTCTCTCTATTTGACTTCAGACCTTAAACCTTTGGCCCTTTCGCTATTTGACACGATAAAAAAAAGACTTGATAATGCAGGATTAACACCACCTGAGGACACAAACTCTGTCACGAAACTGCTGACATGAAAGCTGTGCACGAAAGTGTCTCCAAGTGTGTGCGAGAGAGAAAGCTATACATTTCTATTCGTCCTCTGTGCGCATGCGTTAAAGTTGACAGGTTAGGTTAGGTTATAGAGTTGACAGGAGGTTATTTATTTTCTTCTTATAGAGCTCTGAAAATTTTTTCAGAATTTTGTATTAACTTTCTAGTACTTCAAAAAAATGCAAGAAAACGCAAAAAAATGCAGTACTAAAAAGTTAATATAAAATTCTGAAAAAATTCTTCGAGTTCTATGAGAAGAAAATAAACAATTTTTATCTCTTGCTATTTTTCGATAAAGTTGATAGAATTCAAGTAAAAAAAAATTGAAATCAATAATTTTGTAGTCCAGCAACAACTGACGCATGTTGGCGCATGCGCACAGATGAGGAATACGAATGTATATCTTTCTCTCTCGCACAGATCTTAGAGACATTTTTGGTTTACAGGAGGCATACGCAATTCCCCCTCCATATATATGCTTTAAGCACTTACCAGACGGGAGTTATTTGATTGTCGGAAAAGTCATGACGCATTTTCGCAACAGATAGCGCTAGTTCATTTTTGAAGTACTAGAGTCATTCGCATCTATGTTATTGCTATGTCATTTGACAGCTGACAGTTCCTCTACCAGTCCCATGTAGCAAAAACGGAACGGAATGGCGCGTCGGTCGCAAATAAATATGATTAATTCGTCAATATTTCGTTATTTTGACGCGACAGAATTAATTATATACATAATTTATGCAATTATTTTGCCGATAACATTGTCATGAATATTCTGAAATATTTAATTGAAGAGTGAAATATATTTTATAACTAGAAATCCGTTCCGTTTTTGCTACATGGGACTGGTAGAGGAAACTTTTACGGAACGGAACTAAAGAACGGAACGCTCATTATAGTAAGAAATCCGATCCGGCGTTCCGATCCGTGCTCAATGGGACGGCACCCTTAGCTTCATTCTAAAAAAAAAATTGAGTAATTTGGTTGAGTTTTGGAGATTTTATAACAAGTCGAAGATGGAAGACCAAACTATGCATTTTCGCCATATATTACTGTTTTACTTCCGTAAAGAGAAGAACATGCGTCAAGCTTGTGAAATGTTGCGTAAAGTTAAAGGTGACAATGCTGTATAAGGCTGATATTTCACGAGTCGTACGACAAGTTTTTTGGATACATTCATTGGTTGACGAACAGAGAAGCTAGAAATACTCTATTCGCCAACCAATAAACGTATCCGAAAAGCTTGTCGTACGATACGTGAAATAGCACCCTAAGAACGTTAGTGCCAACGATGGTTCACGAAATTCCGTGCTGGTGATTTTGATCTCAAA